AACCCTAAACCCTAAACCCTGAACCCTAAACCCTTAACGCTGGGCCCCTGCAGGCCTCAGCTCTGAACCCGAAGACCCTGAGCGCTGAGAGTTTAACCTGGGAGCCGATTTTGAGTCTACTTGGAGGATCATGGGACTTAGGCTCCTTAAAGGGCTCCATAAAGGGGGTCTAGAGGGCTCCTTAAAGGGATCTATAGGGTTTAGGGTTTCGGGCTGTATTTGAGGATCATGGGACTTAGTAAGCAGGGTTATAAGTACCTTAATTAAGGTTATAAGTAGGTATGACTATAGTTACCTTACTTTTCACCCTACTTACTAAGTGCCACGGTCCTCCAAGTAGGGTTCAGGGTTTTGAGTTTAGGGTTCCTTTAAAGGGATCTATAGTAGGGTTCCTTTAAAGGGATCTATAATAGGGTTCCTTTAAAGGGATCTATAATAGGGTTCAGGTCCTTTGAGGGTTTAGCGTTTAGGGTTTAGGGCTTGGCGCTTTTGGGTTTGAGCGTCAAGGGATGAACGTTTAGGGTGGAGGTTGTAGGCTGGGTGTAGGGAATGGGGTTGTATTGCAGGTTTTTGTTATCTTTGGAAGGGTTCGTAAGGTTCGACCAGGTTTTAGGGGTTAGGGTCGTGTTCGGACACGACTTTCAAAAACGAACCCCAAACTAGACCCGAAATGGTGGAGTCTTTATTAGAAGGACTCCAATAAACGAACTCCTTGAGAACCCTCATAGAGCCGGTCTAGCCCCATGGAACACAAGGGACTCCACATGAAGGAGCCTCTAATGATAAGAAGACTTGTGTAGCAGATAGTGGACGGGAGAACTTTAAACTTTTTGGCCCTATATATGGGACTTTCCGAAAATAGGGGACCCTAGTATAGCACCCCAAATAGTAGGATCCTTATGATAAGGATCCCAAAATAAGGTACCCTAAATTTTCGGAAACTCCCATATTAGCTCTATCTTTAAAAGTTTGAACTTTTTTGGGCCCGGTTGTTGAAAACGAGAGTTTTCGGCGTCCCCGATCCCACCTTGAGCAGAAAAGAGTACCGTGAGGCGTTTTAAGGGTTCCTTCGAGGCTTCCTTTAAGGGCTGCTAACGGTTTTCAGGACTGAGGGTTTGCTTGTAGGGATTAGGGGTTAAGGGGTTGAGGGTTAGGGGCTCAGGGAGCGAGGGCTCAGGGTTTATGGCTATTAGGTTCAGGGGTTAAGGGTGTAGGGGTTTAGGGCTTAATCTGCTTGGGTTGGAGCGCTGTCAGTACCTTGACATGCAAACCCCAAGCTGCTTCGATACCATGGACCCTAAACCCCGAACCTGAAATCCTGAATCTCCAACCCTAAGCCCCTAAACCTTGAACCCTGAACCCTAAGCCAGCCCCAAACCCTAAACCCTCAAACGCCCAAACCCCGAAACCCCCTAAACCCTAAACCCTTAAACCCCTAAACCCTGAAACCCCTGCACCCGGAGGCCACCTACAGCCGCGGCCACGTCTTCCTGAAGCAAGGGGAGGTGGCGGAGGCCGGAGTCAGTTGGGGACCCAGAGGCTCCAATATCCCTTAATTAAGGAACAGGGTTGAGGGTTTAGGGTTAAACCCTAAACCCTAAACCCCTAAACCCCTAAACCCCTAAACCCTAAACCCCTAAACCCCTAAACCCTAAACCCTAAACCCCTAAACCCTAAACCCCTAAACCGGGATCCCTAAAATGGTTTAGGGTGCATTGCTTAATGAAGGTATTGGAGTCTCTGGGGACTGTCAGGGGTTACCCGGGCACCGTGTACTTTAAAGGATCAGGGGGACTTAGCAAGTAGGGCTCCTTTCAGGGGTTCCTTTAAGGGTTCTATAAGGGCTCTAGTGGCGATTTTAGGGGACTGAGTCAGTAGGATTATAAGTAAGGTAACGATAGGTATATCTACGTATAACCATAATTAAGGTACATATGGGTGGTTGTCAAAATTAGGGTCCTTTGTTGGATCCCTATTATAGTACGGCACCTAATATTTAGGGTACGCAAAAAGGGACCATAATTTTGACAACCACCCATATTTCCCTACTTACTACGTCCTCTAAGAACCTACCTTTTGAGGGTTCCCTGATATGATTTCTTTATATAAGCCCTTCAAAAGGCAGGTTACTTGGGGTTAAGGTACTTACTAAGCCCCCTAAACCCTAAACCCTAAACCCTAAACCCCCTGAGCCCTAAACCCTAAATCCTAAACCCTAAACCCTAAGCCCTAAACCCAAAGCCCTAAACCCTAAACCCTAAACCAAAAGCTCAGGGGTTGAGCCGGTTTAGAGTTTTTTTTTTAGGTTTTCGAGGCTTTTGGGGCGTAAGGCGAACTCCTAGAGCCGGAACTCTAAAGCCCCTGGCGCCCTGAGCCGGAGAGGACATTACCTACGTGGTGGTGAGTGCCGGGTGCTGAGCTCCTGGCTGCGTCAGAGATGTCGTGCTCAGTGACTTCTTGAGGGTTCCTCTGTATGGTTTTCCCTCAACGGTTTAGGGAGGGTTTAAGATTTGGGTGATAGGGTTTAGGGGCAGTTTTTGGATTCAGGGAGGGTTAGGGTGTAGGGTTTAGGGCAGTCTAGGGTGTGGGGTTCTACCAGTGCTTGTTTTAGGGAGGGTTCAGTGTTTAGGGCAGTTTAGGGTGTGGGTTCTACCAGTACTTGTGAACACTTCCTGAAGGCACGAAGGGCACCCAAAGCTTTAAAGCAGCCCTCAGCAGGAGTCTGAAAGCTTAAGCCCGAGACGGTGAGTTTCGAGCTTCGGGGTTTTATTAAGGGGCGTCGTAACATGATCATGATATCAATGCACAAGCTGATCATCTCGGTCTCTGCATCAGGGTTTAGGGGTCTTGGGTTGTTCTACCCCACCTGCTAGGAACTTCCCGTTGAGACTCCATGTGCATCCTGCTGCAGACGGCATTTAGGAATCCGGCGAGAGGTTTGACAGTTTTTCTTTGCAGAGGTTTATGGTGTTTCTTTATCTAGGATGCCCAGTAGGATCCTTATTCCCTTTTTGTAGTCCTAGGTTCCTTATAAACTTACCCAATCCCAAAAAGAGACGCATTTTTATTCTTAGGTTACTGGGTATCCTAGCAGAGGTTTATGGTGCTTTTTTATAGGGTTTTGCGAGGAGGCCTTTGTAAATTGCAACTGCATGTGTTTAGCACACATCAGCCCTGTCGAAGAAACAGCTTACCTTTGGTTAGTAGGGAATGGTAGGGTTCCCTTATAATGGGGTCTATAAGGGTTACTATAAGGGGTCTATATAAGGGTACTATAATATGGGGGCCTTAATCATCCCATAACTTACCTTTGGTTAGTAGGGAATGGAAGAATGGTAGTAATAGTAGTTATACTTGTACCCCATTCTTCCATTCCTGACTCACCAAATGTAAGACAGTGGAGACGCGATGTAACTTCCCTGCACACGGCCCCACCGGACGAACCTTCAACCTTCAACCCTCGAATGTAGCGGCCTTCATAATCAGAGTCGGGGGTTCCTTTACAGGGGTCTACAAGGGTTCCTTTAAAGGGATCTATAAGGGTATAAGGCTTCCTTCAAAGGGGTCTATAAGACCAACTATAAGCGATCTATAAGAGTACTCTTCTAATTATTAAGGCCCCTACATTATCCCTCAGCCCCGTAGCCCTAAAACTCTAAACCCATCCAGCCGCAACGGAATTCGATTGAAGGGGAAGCTTTGTACCAAACAACGTGTGAACAACTGCACATTGCTACCAGAAGCCTCTTACATGCCTTGAGCACATCAAGCCTTCCATCCAACTTCCGTCAAGGGGTTTGTGGAATTCCAGCGTCACGAGCTCATGGCGTCCGTGACCCCAGATTTTGGATTGCATGCGGAAATGCTAACCCCTAAACGGCAACAAGCACGACCCTAAACCCTAATCCTAAACTCTACACCTTCAAGCAAGCCTACAGACCCTAAACCCTAAATCCCGAACCCTGCAACCTCCTCCCAAAGCCCTGTCGGATTTAATGTCGGATTTAAGGGTTGGCCTGCCAAACTTTCTTTGGGACTTCCACTTTCCAGGGGCATTGCCCTTCCCCCGCTTAGAGGATCATGAGACGTAGTAAATAGGGTTATAAGTAAGGTAACTATAGTTATATCTACTTATAATCCCAATTAAGGTACTTATAACCTTACTTACTAAGTCCCATGATCCTTCAAGCGAACAGCCTTGAATCCTCCACCTGGGGCATTTCTGGATCGCTGGTTGTTGGCCTTAAAGGACGGGCGGGTCGAAGCCCTAAAACAGAAACCTCCTCCACCTTAAACTTCATCGTCTAAAACCCTAAACACCCAAACTAGAGTAGTTCTCCGTGATGCAAGAGATGCCACCCACATCCCGTCGTTGATGTGAAGTCGCCCATATTCAGCTAGGTACAGCCCGATAAGCACCTTTTCAAATCTTTTTGACACCATTGAGGCCAACAGCGCTTAAAACTCAAAGCCTGAGACACCCCAAACTGCACACCTTAAATTTTGAAACTCTTCTCTAAACCCTTAACCCTAAACCCCTAAACCCTAAACCCTAAACCCTAAACCTTCAATCCTAAATCCTAAACCCTAAACCCTAAGCCGTAAACCTTAAACTTTCGAAGTATCAGGGACGGGAGTGTCGGGCAGCTTGGTTTCGGGTTCGGGCTTCCGGTCGTCGGATTGACGGGTTGGTTTTGGGCTTTTGGGGGTTTAGGGTTCAGGATTTACGGTTCAGGGTTTTTGGGGCTTAGGGTTCAGGGTTTAGCGTTCAGGATGTAGGGTTCAGGGTTTTTTTGGGGTTTAGAGTTCAGGGTTTAGGGTTCAGGACTTAGGGTTCAGGGTTTTTGGGGTTTAGGGTTTAGGGTTCAGGATTTAGGGTTCAGGATTTAGGGTTCAGGTTTTTTTTTTTTTTTTTAGCCCTTTGGCGCAAGGCTACACGGGCCAGGGTCGTGTCCTGTAGGGTAGCAGGAGCGAATTGCGCCGCGACATTTTGTCACCACATGGAGACACAGACATGGAATCGGCTTCAGGGCCTTTATTCATTTGCGAACACCTCACCCACTGCGCTTGACGGTGAAACCTCGTGTTTTGAGCTTGAGATTGTGGGGCAACCGGTGCAATGCGAGTCGTCCGTCTTGATTCGAGTGCATATTCTGCAACATTTGCAAACCACTTTGAGGGATGGAAGTGTGGTTCCCATTGCTCTGGAGCATCCGAATCGAAAGGCGGTATTGCGCATGACTTCAGCACAGTGGGCTTCTATGGGGGTTTTCTGTCGGTACATACGTGCATTGTGGACGCAGGTCCGAGTCAACGACACTGTTGTCGTCCTAGACAGTGTTCGGAGTCCTGCTTTCCTGGCGGGAGATGTCCGGTACCGAAATGACGATGTTATTCATGCCGCGGAAATATTCTGCGGGGGTTTCGCAGGCTGGACGGAGGCCGCTTGGGTCTTGAAAGATGCGGGGTGCCCACTCCAGGTGGATTGGCTGCTGGACATACAAGAGGACCTTAGAGAGTCGCTGGAGGTTCTGCTCCCTGATTTGTTGGTTGCCAACACTTCGTTGGAATTGGAAGAGCACATGCAAACAGATAATCCCGTCTTTGTTGCAGCGAACTTTGAGCACCCTTGGTGGAATACTGCTTGGGCGCTTAAACCAGTTGACGTGGTAGTTTGCTCCCCTCCCTGCCAACCGTGGAGCTCGGCAGGGCAACAGGCAGGATTGAACTGCCCAGATGGGCGCTTGCTGTTACAGATGGCAGACCTTATGGGCGTAGCTCGGGTTCCGGTTGTGTGTTTGGAAGAGGTTGCAGGGTTCTGTGAGCACAGTCATTTTGCAGAGGTCATGCAGGCCTGGAGGGCGGCAGGTTATGAATTTGTCTTCAAGGAAAGCCTTCAGTTGGCAGATGTTCTGCCTACTTGGCGTAAACGGAGCATGTTGATCCTGGTCCATGTGGACCTTGGCCCTGAGGCCCAAAAGCCGTTGCAGGTGATAACGTGGACTAAGGTGTCGCGCCCATCTTTGCACGGCATGATTGCCTACTTTCCTGTTCTGCCAGATAAGCTGCTGCAGCCTTGCCGCATTTCGGAGGAAGTGCTAAGCAAATACCTTGACCCATGGTACCTGCCACCCAGCTTGCCGCCCTCGCCTGAGAATATGAAGCGCTTCAGGTTGTGTAGTCCTGCCCAACAATGCAAGACCTTCATGGCGGCATACCACTATCAGCATGAATTGCCGGAGGGCACCCTTTCTAGGAAGGGTTTGCTCTGTAGCTTGCTTCGGGTTGGGGAGACCGTAAGGTTCTTTGCAGGCCCTGAAATCGCATCCTGCCATGGTGCACAGCGTAAGCTTTTTCTTGAAAAAGATGACAGGCAATGCATGCAGAAGCTGGGCAATTCCCTTGCAGTGCCCCAGGCCGCTGTTACATTGGCCCATGCAACGAACCTCTTGATTCCCATGAAACGCGTTGACCCTGCACTGGCAGCTTCACTTAGTGTGAATGGCCGGATGACATGCGCCAATTGTGCTTTGTTCAGGGTTAAGACGGGGTGGCTGATGGTTCGCCTAGATGAGGTTGGGGCTATGTTGGCACGCAAGCACCTACGACAGGAAATTGAGCTGCATCTGCGTAGCCGGGGCCAGGTCTTTCATCAGGTCAAGGTTCAGACTGCCACTGGTGAAGCGCAGGAGTCAGCATGTCTCCAGGTTTGGTTCTCATCGCATGTGTCGGTTGCTCAGGTTCTAGAGGTCCTTGGTACGCAGGCCGTTGCACCGCAGACTGTGGGTGAGGATGCCTCCCCCTTGAATGCGGATTTGGTCACTGTGGATCAACCGCCTTACTTGAGGCTTGCTGCTGACATAGTAGGGGACCGTCCCCTGCGCGAGCCGCTCTGTCTGTGCACGCCAGCTGGCCTTTATGTGGTGTTGCCGGGTACACCGGATTTTTACCATCAGCTGAAGTATGTCTTTGATGGCTGCCGCCATCCTGCGGCCCCGTCGGTGATGTGTCTGACTTGCTTCGGCACGCCAGTGCCTGACGTGATGCTCTTTCCCCGGCTGGTCTGTATTGCCACAGAGGCCCAGGATATCTACTTCGCGGGCCCCATGCTTGGAATGGGCCAGATCAGAGATTGTCACCTACGGAGAACGGTCGAGGGCTTTCTTTTGCATGTACCGGCAGAGCATGCTGTTGCTTGGTTCCTGCAGGCGCCGTGCCACCTACTTGAGTGCCTAGGCTGGACCATGCTAACAACTGGTGATGGTGTCCCAGCGGATGCCCCGCTTCAATTCCGCATTCAGCCCAATGTTGACTACCCTGGCGTGCCGGCCAACGAGGTGCCCGGCTATCTCAGAGATCTGTTGTTCCTTTCCCAGGTGCGAGCCCACGCTGCTGCGGCGGAGACTTCTTTAATTGGCCCTTTCATGCTTCAGGTTGGCGCTCGCACGCTGGGCCAGCTGTCCCTAGCGCCCCGAATCAATGCAGACAAACTTGAGCATTTCTGGCGGGTTGCTAGTAATGCCACTGGGTGCTGGCCGGGAGCACAGATTTTTTCTGGTCCTAGACGGTTGCATTTCACCACGGTTTTTGAGCAGCTTGGGGAAGCAGCTTTTCATCGCAACCGTGCCACAGGCTTACTGGTCTTGACGGTGGTTCCCGAGGTTAGAGGCGGTGGCGTCAAAGATGAAAATGTTCAGCTCGCTAAATCCCGAATTGCGTCTCTGTTCTTGGATCGTAGGATGCCCCTCTCGGCGGCTTCCACTGCCACTGATGCCTTGGTCCCGGCTTTAGGTGCCACTGCGTGTCTGCAGGCAATGTCTTTGCCAAGCACCCAGGAGCGGTGGCAGCAACTGTCAAAATCGGCCCATGCCGTTGGCAAGGACTTGCCTCAAGGAGACAACCGCACGGAGCGGGCGGCCAATCGTATTCAGGCTGCAGTCCGCCGACGGCGCTTAGCCCGCACGCAGCACATTCAGGCCTCAGAGTTTCTGCTTGAGGAAGGGACTTGGTGCGGAATGGACGAGTCGCCGGTCCCCATCTTGACGCAACTGCAGGCTGGCTGCACTGGTGCCATCTTGATTGATCCCTCAGAGGCCAACGGCCATGATCTGGACCTACTTCGCAACATGGGCTCGGATGCGATAGTGTGGTCGTACCCGGCCATTGCTGTCCGGATGAAGCCTCGTGTGCTGGCAAGGTCAGTGTGCCCGTCAGGCACGTGGCCACAGGACATCGCCATCTCCTTGCAGCATGTTACCATAATGTTGGTGAGACTGAGGTGCATCCCCGCATACCGCATGGAACTCAGGTTGCCGTGGATGGTGCTGTCTGCTGTTCTTTCGCCATGCATTCTGATGATTGTCCTCAGGGCCTCCAGTGGAATGATGCGGTGCAAGCTCCGGTGCGCACAGTGGTGCAGCAGTTCCGTGCTAAGGGCCTTCAACAGGCGCTGTCCCACCCATGGGGACGGGGTTATCGAGCCAAGGGCCGCCCAAGCCTGCCCAGTCATGCGGATACTTTCCAGTTCTTTGCGAAGGTTGTGCAAGCGGATTTGAAAGCGGTCCTCCAACACAGTGGGTTTAATCATGTGTTTGTCGTCCCTCGCACCTGGGACCGCAAGGTGTTGCCTGGATGGTCGGTGGTTTGGTTACCTGGGACAAGGCATGAGCTGGAAAAGCAGGCGGTTGTAGTCCCGGAACAACATGGCCGGGTCCGTGGACGCAGCAAGCTTGGCCTCCGTGTTCCTGCTCCTGACTTCACTAAAGTCTTTGGGCAGTTGCGCCCTGGTGCTCCGGCGCCGGTTGCAGTAGATGTCCGCCTCTTGTTTAAAGGAGGCCCATTCCCGCATGCTGCTAGTGCAGATGACATCAGCCAATGGGCTAGGAAGCTGGGATGGCAAGTGAAAGTCGTAAAAGCTCTGGGCCCACAGTTCTGGTTGCTCGGCTCCGCGGGTGAGCCTCCTGCTCCCACTGCGCATTTCAATGATGTGCCGGTGCTCCTCTCTCCTGTGAAAAGCCGGGATGCCAAAATGCCGATCGTGCAGGCGGGAGGGCCCATTCCTTCCATGCCACGCCGCCCTGTTGCGCATGACAATGGTGAAGAAGATCCGTGGCTGCATGGTGACCCTTGGAGTGCTTACAAGCCCAAACAGGCCCCTGCAGGCTTATCGGTGACTCCCTTCACGCCTGTCAAGACTGCTGACCAGCAGCTCACTGCTAAGGTGCATGATCAGGAGTCCAAGCTGGCACAGCTTGAGCAGGACCTTCAGGCCCTTCGTGCTGATCAGGCTGCGGCCTTGCAGAGTCAGGCGTCCGACAAGGCACAATTGCGCCATGAGCTCCAGACGGTTCGTGTCGAGGTCCAGGGACTGGGCCAAGGATTGCAACAGCAAATGCAGGCCAACCTTGATAGTCTTCGAGCTGCTAGCGCGCAGCAGGAGCAGCAAGTTGCTGCTGGAATGGCCGAGTTGAAGGCACTGCTTCTTGCGAGTACTGAGAACAAAAAGGCACGGACCAGTGCCGACCATGATCTGTGACTTTTGCTAGATGCCACACAGGTGGCAATGGGGTATGCTGGCAGTGTATTGTTACGACTGCCGTCGGGGGTACGATTGTGCGGTTTGGCTAGTTCCCTGTGTCCTGCCGCCATCTTCTGTTTTAGCGATCGGTGCAACTGCTTACGGCCCCTTCTGTGGCTGTCACGGTTATGGTGCCCACGTTGCAAAGTTTTGTTCCCTAGCTGTGCTAGTGGGATCTGTCACAATCAGTGCCATAAGAGCGTTGCCTTGGCGCCCACTGGCATGCACCGCCTCTGTCGACTACAGTGTCCGGTGCCTTTCGAGTCTTTGCTTCCACTTCGGGGGTTGGCCTCACCTTCCCAGGATGTTGCCGGTCTTCCGACTACTTGTCAGGGCTGTCTGGCTAGCCGATGGCTCCTGCTTCTTGTTCCACTACTTCCTCCTCCAATCTGGCGCCCCCGGCTTAACTGTGGCACGCGCATTGGAGAAGCTTCCCATCCTGGCCCTGGCCAGACCCTGTTAACGTCGTACTTTGGTGATACCCAGGGTAATTCACTCCCGCCGTCGCCCTCTTCCGAGGATGCTTGTGTGATCTCCGTGGTCAACCCGACCAGTGTTCTACATAAGGAGCAACTGTTTTGTGAGCTTCAGGCCGACGTGCTGGCCTTGTCTGAGACTTCGGCTGTCCAGCAGGTGCAAACCATCACCGGCCGCGCCATGCACAAACATGGCTACCGTGTGCACTGGGGCCATCCAGTTGCTTCGCATTGTAAGGGGACTGCTGCTGCGCCCAATTTGCGTGGCCTTGCTGCTGGAGTGGCGCTTGCTGCTCGACTCCCTTCTAGGTGTTCCCGGCCAGGCCTCCCGGCTGACATTGCAGCGACATGTCGCATCGCTGAGGCTTTTGTGCGCCTCGGGCCCCTGGAGGTCCGTTTCATCACTGTGTATGGCCATCAGGCTGCCATGTTGGATGCGAAGGATCACAATGAATGCTTGTTACGGGCGGCCTTGGACCGTGCCACACAAAATGCCATGCCGTGCATAATTGCGGGAGATTTTAATTTGTGCCCGTTGGACCTGCCTTCCGGGCAGTGCCTTGCTCGTCTTTTGTATCAGGAGATTCTTCAATTTCACCTCAAGCGCACTGGCATCGCCCTTCCCCCGACCTGCAAAAACAGCACGAGGCATGACACAGCCCTGTTGCATCCTTCCTTGGTGTCCTTGTGGGATGGGGCCTGGGTGCTTTCCGGTCGCCATCTTTTTGACGCACATGATCCATTGTGTTTTCGACTTCGACTGCCCCACTGTAAACCCTGTCGACATGTCTGGAGGTTTCCGCGCTCCTGGTCGGAGTTGGGGGTACAAAAAGACCAACTGCAAGCTTCTCTTGAGCCCGAGTGTGCGAAGCTCCGTTTGTTGGCGGATCAATGTGACTCGCCAGAGGCCGTGGACCTAGCATTGCAAACGTTTGCCATTGCGGCGGAGCGAGCAGTGGATTCGGCGCTGCGTCGTCAACACCAGTTGGATCCGGTCAAATGCCCCCACCGCTTTCTTGCCAAGGCTTATCGTGGTCGGTGCAAGCCGCGCCAGTTGGTGAAGAGTGAACTCCCTAGCTTGGCCCGCCCGGACCGAGGTGGCGGCTATGACCCAGATGTTGAAGTGACGTCTGTCCTTGGTCGTTTGCGTGTCCGGCAGGTTCGCCGTATTCATACCCTCTGTAAGGGTCTTGTTGCAGCCAACAGTGCCGGGACTCCGCTTTCCAGCGCCCAGCGCCGGCAGCTGTGCCAGGAATGGACCGCTATTGGCCGTGCAGCCGGGTACACACCTTCTTTTCCCCAGTGGGTGTTGCAGGTTGCATGCTTTCATCACTTTCCGGAGTGCTTGCCAGACCTTGAGTGGCTCCGTGATCTGCTGCAGTATGTCAGGTATGATTGCGATGCTTTGGTAAGACAACAGGCGCGGGCGAGAGCTGACAGTTTCAAGTACCATGTCCAACGTTGGGACCAGGCAGAAGGCCATTCGCGTAAAGGCTATACGGCCCTTCGTCCCCCACCAAAGCCTGCCTTTGTTGAGGTCCCGGTCACAGTGACATGTCAGGTTGTGGGCACTGACAATGCGTCCGAAGGTTGCCGTGCCTACCGCCTGGAGCGCCCCTCTGCTTTCCGCGAGGGTTCCCCAGCGCAGCTTGGTGACTGTGTTTGCCAGGTCAAATCTGCAGAGGGAGTTAAGGTTGTGCTGCAAGGCTTGGGGCTGCCTGCCGCTGGCCAGCTCAGTCAGACCAATGTCGCGTGTACCGCAGATGAGCTTCACGAGGCTTTTGTTGCTTACTGGGGGCCAATCTGGCAGCGTGATGTTGAACTTCCACATGATGACCTGGCGGACTGGCCCCGGTTTCGAGAGATCTTGACAGACCCGAACCTGAGCTTTTCCCCGCTTCAACTTCGCTCCTTTGCGCCGGACTTGTGGCGACAGGCCATACAGAAAATGGCTACTCGCAAGGCTACTGGGGTTTGTGGCTGGTCCCCTGCAGACTTGAAACTACTACCTGATTGTGCCCTGGAGGTCCTGAATGCGATTTTTCATCAGGCGGTGACGTGTGGACTGCCAACGCACATTCTGCAGACACGAGTCGGGGTGTTGTCCAAGGTTGAGCTGCCGTGCGGGATGCACCAGTCACGGCCCATTGTGATCTTCTCCTGTCTTTACAGGGTTTGGGCGTCGGTCATGGCAAAGCAAATCTTGCGCCAATGGGCTCCCAGTTTCCCGCGGGCGATTGCGGGCTCCATGCCCCAACGAGCGTGCCGAGATGTCAGTTACAGAGAACAGTGGCGCGTCGAGGCTTCCCTGCTGTCCTCGACGCCTCTGCTAGGCCTCTCGATTGATATCATCAAGTGTTTCAACCAGATAGGTTGGGCCCCAGCGGGTGCCGTTCTCCGACTGTTGGGCGTTCCAGCTGAAGTTGCTGCATTTTGGGTGGACTGCCTAAGAAAGCACAGTCGTCGGACGGTATTTTGTGGAAGCCTCTCAACTGATCTCGTCTGCTACAATGGAGTCCCGGAAGGAGATCCCATGAGCGTGGTGGTAATGGCGGGCATCTGCTACGTTGCGGATCGGGCCTGTGCCACACCGCAAGTTGACTACGAAAGCTATGTCGACAATTGGTGCTGGCTGAGTGCCTCTCGTACTGCGATTGCTGCTGTTATTCCGAAAGCGTTGTCCTTCCTGGACTGCCTTGCCCTGCCCATTGACTTTACCAAGAGTTATGTCTGGGCCACCAAACGAATTGATCGCAAGTGGTGGCGGTCTGAAGCAATTGCCTTGTTCCCGGAAGGGTGCTTGCCGAAGCTTGTCACAGAGGTGCGTGACTTGGGGGTTGCTTTTAAGTTTGACCGTAACGGGCACCGCGCAAGCCGAAATCACCGCCTGCAAGCGGGTTGTGACCGTCTGGATCGACTCCGTCAGCAACCCCGTGCTGTCCTCAACAAGGCGCGACTGGTTCAGACGGCCGTTTGGCCACAGTGCCTTTATGGATGCGAGGGTCATTTACACTCTCTTGCAGAATTTGCCAACTTGCGTGGAAAGGCTGCGCGGGCCATTGTAGGACAATACAAGATCATGAGCCCTCATCTTGCGATGGTTGCGCTTGCAGACGTGGTGCAGGATCCTTTTGTCTACTGCTTGGAGCGCCAGCTCAGTGCCTTCCGGCGGGCCTGCCTTCATGATCCTGAGACGGCCATTGAGGTTTTGCAAGTTGCTACGGCAGATCACGGCCCTAGCCGTGCGCAGGGCCCAGCTACAGCTCTACGGCTCTCTTTGGACCGCCTGGGTCTCACTTTGCAGGCTGATACTTGTCTGAAGGGATTGGATAATTCTAGGGTTCGGTTGGATACTTGTTCCATGCAAGAAGTGCGCGCACTGTTGCATCGCAGTTGGGCCCTACATGTGCAGGGTCTTGTGTCCCACCGTAATGGCCTGTCACAGGCTTCTCCCGTGTACTCCCCGCCAGTGGTGCGACTACTGGCCAAGTTGAATGGCCCTGAACAGGCTGTGATCATGCGACATGTCACTGGGTCCTTCTCGTCGGCAGCTGCCAAGCAGCTGTGGGCTGATGACACGGATGGTTGTTGCCCGCTGTGTGGTCAACGTCAGACCAAGTATCACAAGGTTGTTGAGTGTCCTGCATTGCAGGAGGTCAGAGCTGACTGGTTGCCTCACTTGCGGTTGGTGTTGGATAGGTGGCCTAGCTGGGTTCATTGTCCTGTCACAACATTGCCGGATGATCTGGAGGTCCCGCAGCTGGTTTTTCACACGCGCAGCCTTCCAGACCCTGTTGTCAATTTCACTGCATGGCCTCAGTTGAGTCGCAGAAATTTCCTGCGGCTGTATACAGATGGCTCCTGTCGCCATTCAGGGGTCAGCTTGGCGCATCATGCAGGGTTTGCTGTGGTCTTGGATACTAGTGCTGATGATACGGCTGCACTGGAGCAGCTGCAACAGTGGCGAACAACCAAAGTGGTGCCTGTCGCTTTCAGTGTCATTGTGCAGGGCCTTGTCCCGGGGCAGCAGACCATTAACCGAGCGGAGTTGTGCGCGGTGTTGCAAGCTGTACGAGCTGCATGGAACGGCGGGTTTGTCGAACTGGAAATCTGGACTGATAGCCAGTACGTCATCCAGTTGTGGCAGGATGGCAGTGCAGCCCCCGGGGATCCTAACTATGACTTGAGTGTTCAGCTCTTGTACTGGAAGGCCCCCAGCATTAGGCTGCGGAAAGTTGCATCACATCAGGACCTTGATACTTTGACTGGAATGGCGCAGTGGCATGCGGCCGGGAATTATGTGGTTGACTTAGCTGCGAAGGCGGCGGTCCGCGCCGACTTGAACATCGTGACCAACATACTGGATGCGGCGGCGCAACATGTTTCTAGTCAGACAGATGTGCTACTTCTTTTCTGGCGGTATTTGCTTGCGCTGTCCCTTGCAGAGAGCCGACTTCTGCGACTTCAGCAGGCTCCGCCCTTGAGACCCGACGACTTGCCGCCAGCGGGACAGGATGATGCTGCCGGCGCAATGCAACAGAGAAAAGGCCTTGAGAGCTGGCTTTGTTTGAACCAAGGGCCGTCCGCCGTGGGCAACCTGCCTGACCTACTGCGCCCTGTTATGTTGGCCTGTTCCTGGCCGCCATGGTTCACGGTTCCGTTGTGGAAGTGGCTGCGAGCCCTGCGGTGGCAGTCGCTCCCACAACGTGGCCGAGCACCCGATGGTGTCACATACTTGGAGCTGCTCGTTGATTTCGTGGTCTCGACAGGAGTGGTCCCGCCCGAGAGTCTTGAACAGGCAGCTTTGGTTTCAGTTCCTCAGACAACATGGCCGCGACCGGTTACAACCAGAACATGGACCCATGTTTTGGTTGAAGCCGTTCGCCAGTTGGAACGCTTGAGTCGCTTGCAGATATGGGGCCCCAAGCGCAACAAGGTTTTCTCACTTCGGCATCTTCAGGTTGCTACAGCACGGCATGGCTTACCCTGCCGTCCGATCTTTCAGCAGGCACGTGTTGTGGGTGATCTTCTGCAATCCGTTCTACGACAAGGGTCAGTGACACCGTTGCAGCAGTATGTTCGATGGTATACTGGACCCTGGCACCACGATTCTGCCCTTCAACATGATTGGCAGACTTTGACTACCGCCAATCGTGCGGCTTTAGCTAAGGACCTGCGGAAGACCCGCAGGCTGTGAGACTCCTCGCTGCTCGTCCACGGAGGCGCGCTGTCGCCTTGAGCCGGCTCGCGACCTCCCCCTTCCTACCGGTGAAAGGTTCAGGGTTTTTGAGGTTTAGGGGGGTCCAGGGAGTCCAGGGTTTATAGGTTTGAGGATTTTGGGTTCAGGTTTCAGGGTTTTTGGGGTTTAGGTTCTAGGGTTTGTGGGTTTGGGGTTCACGGCTTGGGTTTAGGGCTTCAGGGTTTGTGGTTTGGGGTTCACGGCTTGGGGTATAGAGATTTGGGGTCTGTGTTTTGGGGTTCAGGGTTTTAGTGCGTCGGACTTTATTTCTCAGGGTGAAGGATTCAAAACAATAGTACTCCCCTACGTTCGCTATGTATTTAGGGTTAGGTATCATATACCCCTATACTACTTCGTTCTAATGATCAAGGCTTCAGTAGTATCGGGTGGGTTTGTCGGGTTTTGGGCTGTCACGAGGAGTTTGACATGAGCCCTTGCCTAAACCTTCGGGGTTAGTTTAGGGTTTGTGCAAGGATGAAATAACATCGTATTGAAAGGATCAAGGGATCTAGCAAGTAAGGCTTGCAGAGTCTCAAAGGGTGTAGAGGTGGAAGGGTTCTACAAGGGTTGCGCGACCAGTCTAGCGTGTATATGGCTTTAGAGCGGGTTATTTGCCCTGTACAAGGATTGTACCAGCGCCTAGTGGCTTACTTAACAGATCAGGTGACTTAGTAGGAGTATAAGAAAGGCAACTACAGGTATATCTACCCAAACCCCCTACGTAATTACAGTACTTATAACCCTGCCCGATCCTTTCAGTACTGTTTCTGCTTGATGTCTGGGCTTCGCGGGAAGGGAGGATGGTAGGGGATTCTGAATGCAAGGAGATAGATTGATTGGCACTACGAAAACTTCCCGACAGCCTGATATAGTGCTGTTTATAAAGATCGATTACGTCGCAGCACAACGTGTAGAATGTTGGAGACCCTAAACCCTAAACCCTGAACCCTGAACCCTAAACCCTAAACCTTAAACCCCTCGAGGAACCCTTATGGGAAGCCCTGAAAAAGGAACCCTTGCAGAGCCGTAAAACCCTTGAACCCCCAAACCACGGAGCTCCTTCACCCTAAAATAGGGACCCAAAAAAAGCACATAAGCAAACATAAGGATAGGGATATCCCATATAGATCCCCTTATAATGAAGCCCAATTAGGTAGGGATATCCCTACAAAATGCTTATGCTTATGTGCTTTTTGGTGTCCCTATAAAAATCTACTTGGAGTAAGTAGGGTTTTAAGTACCTTAACTAGGGTTACAAGTAGATATAACTAGGGTTGCTTTACTTATAACCCTACTTACTGAGTCCCCTGATCCTCCAAGTATGGGAACGTTGACTTGTCTTGGCTACCGAGGCCCCAGCAATCTCGGGTTCCGGGCTTGCGATCAGGCCGAGTTGGCTTTCGGGGCTTGTGGTTCCGGGTTTCGGGCTTGGGTTTGACATAGGGGCCTGAACGAGTACTCAGAATATGGGTTTGGGGTATGTTAAAGTACAGCTATAACAAAGAACCCTGAAAAATGTAGTAGTGCTCATGCCGCCCCATAATACGGTTGATGATATAAATCCTGCATTACCCATCATAAGGAATATACCATAATTCCCATAGTTTAGGGTCCTTAAGGTAATGCAGGATTTATATCATCAACAGTAACACCTATAACACACCCTAACAAAACTCTGAAACCTTAAAGTGCTACGGCAGTATTTTGGGGGCTCCTTTAAAGGGGTGTATCAGGATTACTATAGGGGCTATTATAAAGGCTTAAACCGGGCCTGGATTTATATCGTCAACCTTATGACGGTTTAGGGCTAAGGGGTTGGAGCCTTTCGTTCACGGCTTCAGCTTTTGAAAGGTTTGGGCCTTCGGGGTCCGGGGGGCCCGAGGGGCTTGGAAAGGGTAGGCGCGTTGTTTAGGGATTTAGGGTTTTGGGTCTAGGGTTTAGGGTTTAGGGTTTAGGGTTTTTTTGGGTCCATAGTGGTTTTATACTACGGTTTTATGGGGTTTTATACCGGGTTTTGTAGTGTTCTAAACGGGTCTTTTCGGGGTCTCACATTTTCTTCTGAGGTTTTTGTAAGGGGAAGGATCAAGGGCTTAGAAAGCCAGTCATGAGTAGGGTCATCAACACTGAAGGTAGGGTCTGACTTGCAGAGTTACCGGTAAACCTGTACCCGACCAACTCGGCTGATAATTTGAGTAGGGAGGGCAGGGAGGGGGGGGGATTAAGGACTTAATGATTTTTGGCTAGGTTTATGGGATGATGTTGGGGATCTCGGGTTTAGGATTTGGTGTTTGGGTTTTGGGATGAAACATGGGTGTGTAGGCTTGACAATCTAGGTTTACGGTTGCACGGCTCTTCCTGTTCGTCGTGTGCTTTTTCTGGCTCCTTTCATGGTACTGGTATTGCAGTATCAATGACTGTGGTTGTGCCTGTACTTGGTGAGCACTTCCACTACTAGTACTACCATCAATTTTGTTTTTGAGCCTTAGCTAAGTTTTTATTTTGTTGGGGGGGGGGGGGGGCACTTGCACATATTCAAGCTCTATATTACACGTGATGTGCTAACATCCCGATAAGAACATATATCATGTCCTGTACTAGGTATTAGCCACAAGACTAGCACCAGCAATCGATCAGCATTGTATTTCGGCATGGTCGCCATTATGCTACGTTTTACTGCCTCACGGTTTTCATGAGGATGGATGTCAGATATCCATTTAGTTTGGTTTTGTTGCATCGACATAAGTTCGGGGGCCCTCAAGGACGTCGAGTTCTGAATTTGGTGTAGGTCTTTCGCACAGTCGCTTTTCGGAGTAGAGCTAGGTTTTCAGCCTAAACCCCGAAAACAATATACCCTAAACGCCTAAACCCGACAACATTTCTTCAACTTCACCTGTCCGTGCTGCAGCTTTGGCCGGAAATTGCCGCGCATACGGTCCAGGACGTAAAGGTTCAGGCCTTAACAACAGCACTCGCGCAACCCCGAACCATCCCTAAAGCCCGCTTCAAGCCAAAAGCCTGCCCGTGCACTGCGACAAGCCCAATATGCCCCAGGGCTTCAGAACTAGCATGTAAAAAACTCGGATCACCAAGCCCTTATCTCCCTACCTAAACCTGAACCTCTGGCCCCAAACCCCTAACCCCAAACCCTAACCCCTAAAATCTAAACTCCTAAACCCTCTAAACTCTAAACTCCGAAACCCTAAACCCCAAACTCTACCCGATACGGTTCAAGTCAGCCCCCGAAGCACCGCGCACCGAGCACCTGGGGAATTCTAGTTCCTGGTTGGGAGCATATTAAACATGTACCTTTTTCTTCCTTATTGGGATTAAGTACCCATAAAACTGTAACATGTTACCCAATTGGGACAAAGAATTCGGAGACCCTGGGAAGCCGCAAGTTTTCGGAGCTATGGCTGGCGGAAAGATCAAGGCATCTCGATGGGCTTAGGGTTTAGGGTTTAGGGTTTAGGGGTTACTACTTAGGTAGTGAACGGGGGAACTGTAAACTTTTTGGCCTTATATATTAGCTCTATCTTAGATAGTTTGAACTTTTTGAGGGCCGGTTGTTGAAGAAGAGAGACTAAAAGACCATAAGGGTTCGCTTAAAGGGCTCTATACGGTTTGCTTTAAGCGTCCTTCTCAGGGAAGGGTATAACGGGGTACCTCCTGGGGTTTGCTACTTGGAGGATCGGGGGACTTAATAAGTAGGGCTATAAGTAAGGTGACTGTAGTTATATCGACTTAGAATCTTAACTGAGTCTGAGTCACTGTGGAGTTGAGGGTTTTGGGCTGAGGGTTTAGGGTTTGGGGTTTAGGGTTGGGGTTTCGGGTTTGGCTACTAACAGGGTCTGTCTTCTAAATTTATATTAACCCAGAGACTCCAATACCCCTTAATTAAGGAATATACCTTAAATTATAGTAGGATCCTTGATATGATTCCCTTTAGATTTCGTACTTGGTATCATCGTCGTGGACCTCGAAGGCCCCATTCTAATTGCTGAGGACCCCCTGAAGAACCGTCTCTTCAACTCGACGCCCAAGAATCCTTAGAGTGTCCCTTGGAGTAAAGCCCTGTTGCAGTTATTGCGGCGTGTATACCAGTGTTGATGGCTTATCTGGTTCTCCGGCAGTACCCTTATGCCCTTTTGATGTTGAGGTGTCCCCTCTAAAGTTTAATCATGACAAAAACGTAGCCGTATTATTGACGGGATACCGGTGAATCCAGGTATCAGGTCTTTTTTTGTGCTTGTAGTCCAGCTTAACATAGAGGTACCCAGAGGCACCTCGACCCCCCTCATCTAAGCTATATACATATGTGTATATATATATATATATGCATATGTGTATGTATGTATGTCTGTATATATATATATACACTTGTATATGTGTGTGTATATATATATATATACACATACACAGATCAAATCTGAAGTGTTCCTTGGGCAAGGCTGCCGCTTCTACTCACGTGATACCGCAGTGACTTAAACCACTGGCGTAGGATATGGGTCTCATGATTGGCGAGCAGCAGAAGGGGTCGGGACATCTGTGTGAGTTTTCGTGATTAACCACTAAACTTACGCAATGCCGACACCCTCAACCCTAAACCCCGAGCGAGCTTAAGTATGCATTCACTGTTGACCTCCCTGTACCCGCATCGCAGATCGTCGGTAATATTCATAAGTACCCTTCTGGTCCCCTACCTCCCTCCCCCTTTGGCGCCTTCAGGTTCCTTATGAAATATAGAGGGGGATGAATATGTGGACTCCGGCTTGAGATCTGGATGCTGTAGTGAAACAACTCCTGACCTTGGGATGGCAATCAAAAATTTTTTTTTCAATCAAAAAAAACTTTTTTTCAATCAAAAAAAAAACTTTTTTCCAATCAAAAAAAAACTTTCCCTTATTGAAGGAGGCGCGACAGGAAGGAAGGAAGGAAGGAAGGAGGGAAGGCAGGAAGGA